TAGAATTGCCCTTAGTAAAACATTAAAACATTCTAAATGACACTACTTTCAGCATAGCTTGACAAATTTTCTAAAGGAATCCCCTGATAAGTTTTGGGACTTCTTGAATCGAAAAAAAAGTCTGTTAGGAAGATTCAAGTTGATAGTGTTCGAATTGATAACGAGGATGCCATTGCAGAACATTTTAATATCTATTTTCATAGTCTGTTCTCTGTTTCATCAAAAACATTTGGTCTTGACCCTGTATATTACCCTGACTACGAGGATATTGTATCGCAACCACGTTTTGTCGCTGTGCTTCTTGACCTAAATACAAAAGCATCACCTGGTCCTGATGGCCTTCCATATGCCTTCTTTCGTCGCTATGCTGAAGCACTCGCCCCATTCCTCCCAAACTTTTTTCGTACATCGTTCTCATTTTCAGAGCTACCGTTGATTGGTGAACGGCACGTGTTGTGCCCATACACAAGCAAGGGGACACTACGCTGATTACGAAGTATCGTTCAATCTCGCTCACTACTTCTTGCTGCAAGATTTTTTAACATATTGTTGCAAAATACACAATTAAATCTTTCGACAGACAACATTCTTTCTTCATTTCAGCATGGTTTCAGAAAGGGTTTTTCAGTGGTTACGCAACTAACAACTGTAATTCAGAATTTTGCAAGCGTTCTCAACAAGCCTGGACAAACTGACGTAATCTTTTTAGATTTCCAGAAAGCGTCTGACTTGGTTTCACATGAAAAGTTACTTTGCAAACTAAAATACATTGGCCTCCCCTCTTTCATAATTAATTTTACCTCTGCTTACTTAGACAAACACACCCAATCGGTTTCTGTTAATGGCCACTACTCGCTTCATCTGCCTGTAGTACCTCAGGGGTACCACAGGATAGCGTACTGGGACCATTCGTGCTCTTAATCTTTATTAACAACATCATTAATATAGTAACAGAGCCAGTTCAAATAGACTTATTAGCAGATGATTGCATATTGTACTATGAGGTTGTTTGTCGAAAGGATCAGGAATTTCTGAAGGCTAACCTTCATAACGTTCATTCTTGGTGTCACAAATGGGACATGAAGTTAAGTGAAACAAAAACAGTATATATGCATATTACAAAAAAAAATGAACAGTTGTTTTCTTAGTCTTCCAGCTGATCCCCTAGTTGAGGCAAATGAATATAAATATTTGGGAGTGACCATAGCTAACAACCTCAGTTGTAATTCTCATATTGCTAACATTTGTGCTTCTTCTTTTCGCAAACTTTGTGTTCTGCGACACAAACTGAAACAGGCACCCTCAGAAACCAAACTTCATGCATACAAAGCACTAATTAGGCCAAAGTTGGAATACGCCTCCACCGTGTGGGATCCACACACCAACCACAATATTGCAGCGCTTGAGATGGTTCAGCGCAAGGCTGTCAAATTTATTTTTTCTAGATTCCGTAAAACCGACTCACCAACAGCAATTACGCGTAATAATGGAATACAGACTTTGATATAACGACAAAAAATACTCAGGCTTAAATTTCTTTTTTTCCTGAAAAATGACAAGTTGTCCTTCATCCCGGTCTATATCTACGTCCGTGAACAAGACAAACCAGACACCATAATTCTGAAACCTTAACTCCTTATCAAACAAGAACTAGCACCTTTAAATTTTTTTTTCTTTCGCACTATTAAAGAATGGATCAGAAGGGACAATTGGACGAGTTGGTGCACTTCTATCTTAAACGAATATTAGCACGACGAAAACAGGGACGGGAAAGAAAAGACAAACTACAGGGCTGTAGTTTGTCTTTTCTTTTCCGTCCCCGTTTTCGTCGTGCTAATATTCGTTTAAGATGAAAGATTAAAGAATGGAATGCACCGCAATTATTATTGCTAAAATAAGTTGAGTTGGTTGACACAATCACTAATATGTAAACTTTGAATATATTTGTTAGTGTTTGTTCTTTTTCTTTTACATTTTGAAATTCTGTATTTCATTTTGTAATTTCACCCCTCCTGCCCGAGCCCTGTGGACCTGGAGTGTGTTGTAAATAAATGAAAAATAAATAAATGAAAATGAATTTCCTGATAGCAAAAATGAGCCGTTATGTCACATAAGGTGTGTCATGTGATGACACTGTGATGTCATTATGACACCACAAGTTTTGCGGCATGCAATGAATTTCCGTCATATATGGCACGTCATCTCCTGATGATTTTTTTGCATCAGCTGTTCCGACAGTCATATTTCACGTTTGATAAGGCATCTAAGGCTTTCCTCTAAACGATAAACACGCCTTTGATATCGCTGATGAGCAGCGTCAGTTGGCCAAAATTGCGTTTTCTTTAGTTCATTAATTTACTTTTGAATTTGGATGTCAGTGCGCGCATGACTGAGTGCCGACTACTATTTGCTTTTCTTGCGCATACGTGTGACGTGGAAGGGGTGTTCACAGGATCTCACTCGCTTTCTGGTGGTATCAACTTCGAGGCAGACACCTAAAATCATCGCTCGCTCAGTGAGCACTTTAAGATCACCATTCTGCGGTTTTGGGGGATCTTTTTATTGATGTAACACAAGCCCGATAGCATCAATGAGTTTGGCTACGAAGATTTAGCAGTCAGTTACGATTATGATCGTTCAGTAATAATTCAAAGAAGTTCTGTACATATAATTTTTAGCACTGCAGCGTGTTAGTCACTTGTCATTTTGTTAACGAAATTATACACCGTGTCTCAGTGATCAGCTGCTTTCTATACGTTGTTGCTATATTCCATAAAAGACCAATTAGGGCCGCATATTTTGCAACGATTTGGGGAAGAAAAACTTGAAACCCGACACAGTTCAAACATTATTTTCCCACCACCCTCCCGTGAAATACAGGAAGCCCCCTTGACAGAGACATCAACCTCGACCTGATACTAGTGAGTGCTTGCTGCTACCTGCTCCTTTTCACATCTATAGTAGTTGCTACAAGCAAAACTATATATGATGCAAACATAAAGCATGTTATCATCTGAAATAGAAAGCCTGCATCATAGAACTCTCCATGAAGCTCCTTTTAATGTAGCTTGCCACATTTACATGGCTTTCGGAAGAAAATGATCTCCTAATATACGTTCGTTGTTTTCTATCATATGATCACTATTTTTCGGAATTCGCTACTCTACCGGGGTACCCAAGTGGCATGACATCACGTGCCTCATTTGAATTTGGTGGCCCGTCCGTGGGAGCCCTGGGGAAAAATGGCGTTGGGTGCAGAGCGCACCGAATCCAGGAAAAAAGAATCGAGAAGAAAACGCACGTGCGGAGGAGAGTGTCATTACTTTCCTAAATCAAGGGGCTTCATGACACCGCGGCTTTCAATGCCACCGTCGGCAGTATGTTCCAGAGAAGACTGGATGCGTCCGTAGCTTCCACTGTGCTGCACAAAATCGAAGCATCCGACTGAGACTGACTGCTCCTCGACGCTGCATGCTTTTATAGCCTCGCGCTTGGATTCCAGATGGTTCTGGAGCTTTCGCTTGCAAGCAGTACAGGGGCAGCTACGAAGGCTTCCACTTTCCTCTGGTACTTTCCACCTACAATGGCGTCCCAAGTCGCCGTGTCATTCCTTCTCTCTCATCCTGCTCCTTCTTTCTAGGCAATGCCGGTGGCTGTTTCCAGGTGCTAAAGAGGTGGACGCGCCGCCACTCAGTGTCTGATGCGTTGTCCCGCCATGTTTAATTGTTCTTTTCAATGCGAATCCATTTCTTAGTAGACTATGTCAGACATACAGTGTTGTCCGGGCATCCGCGGCGGTGTCCTCACGCCCGCAGGTGTTATCTCTACGCTCTCACTCCCTCTCTCATAGCAACAGCTACGGGCGTGCACGCTTATCCTTCACCTTTCAGCAACCGGAACATGTGGTGCAAGAGAGTGTAGGAGAGGGTAGGTGCAGTGCTTTGCCACTCCTTTTCTTGCCGTTCACTCTATTTCCTACCTGCGCCCCACTTCCCCATTCGCTCGCGCCTCACTCCTGACCGTTCGTTGGCTGGGTGCCTCTCAAACACATTCCGAAATGTGTGCTCGAGACGTCGTCGTGAAACACCAATGCCGAGCCGAGAACACTGCTTGTTTTGTTCACTTCATAGTATTTTTTAACTGTGCACACTAGCTACTAGAGCTGGATATGCATCCCGCATTTCTCGCAACAAAAAAATGCCACGTGCAGAGAACGGCGCTATTGGCTGCACGGTGCAAGAAAAAGAAGAAAACATTACTATTCTTCTAACGCTAGCTTCCATAAACAAAACGCCCTAATGGACGCTGCGCAATGCATTCACATTTCCTCACGAATTCCTTTAAGGAGGTGGAGGAATTTTTTTCATTGCGCGCATTTTGAAGGGGAGTCCGCTGGCGGCGCGGCTGCCTTTAGTCGTTCGTAGGCGGCGCGCACATCTTATGGAGCGCTCATTTCGCGACATACGGTATCAACAGAAATGGGATTTTAGCAGCGCTCTGGTGGCCTTCGTTTACAAGGTGCATAGATAGAGCTATCATTATCATGACTTTCGTTCCCTCAATAAAAATACAGCAGATTTTCTCTGAGAGAAGACCAGATTCCCCGAGTTTTCCCTGATATTTTCCAGACTAACCAAAATCCCTGAGATTTCCCAGTTTTCAGGGTTAATATACACCCTGTGTAATAGTGAATTGTTAGAAAATTATCTCGTCCACCTTCTTGAGTGCACTGCAGGTCGCAGGAAAGCAGCGGCGAGGGTACTCATAATGAGTAGTTCTTGAGAGACGTTATGAGCAGGTTTTTCCGATTGACGACGAAGACATAGCGTACATGAGATGACGCACTTTAACTAAGCCGACAGCAATAAATCAGCCAAGTAAAGTGGCTGAACGCAGCATAGAATCAGCACTGCAGCCTCGTTTTCGTTTCTGCAGTATCTGTGTAACCCAGGATAAAATGATGCTCAAGGGTCCCAGAAAGTCACCAAAACATTGTCATGTAAGCTTTGATACAGACTTTTATTATTAAAACAATTATCAGAAGGTTAGCATCACCAAAGTACGGTGATTCCCGTATTTGTAATGTAAAATATTTGTTCCATCTATTCGTACTTTACAGCAAAATGATTCTATAAGTTAAACAACATACAGCTGAATGAAATACCTGCACAATATTATCTAGCAGTTATTTTTATCACAGCCTAAAAATAAGTACAAGCAGAGGATGAGGTACTTTGAATGGTACAACAGCATCAACGTTTTTCCTTTACACAAAAGAATTCTTTCGTAAATATGTTGGAATGTTGCTCACTGATAATAAAATGGCAATCCTGAAGCTAACGCTGTAGCTAACTGTGATAAATTGACGACACACAAACACAGGTCAAGAGACATGGAGGATGCTTCAAAGCTGTTAAATTTGCGTCGTTTCACTGCTGTAAAACCACGTCAGTTAAGAAACTCCGATTACTTAAGACTGTGCATACATGTTTGGAGGTCTATAAGAAAATGTTTCTCAATAATAAGCATCCCCAAAAATGGAAGGGCACTGAAGTCTTTAACTGGGCAGCAGTTACAGTTTGCGCCATACAGAACTTTGAGCTGGTACATTTATGCAAGTCCAAAAACTTTCATGCGGAAATATAATTTATATGTAGCAAAACACCCTCATTTTTTAACTTCGGCATCTGTTTTACATGCACAAAAACTTCTACATTTGCTTCTTGTTCAAAAAATATTCAAGCGAAGAGTAACAATAAGCAGAAAAACAAATGTGTGCTTAACAGGCTTTTGAAATGCGTGCAAACACTAAAAGTCGTCATTTCCAGGAGTGGTTCTTAAGTGTCAAAGCTCGTCTTTGGGCATTTTATCGGCTCCACAGCGAATACCAACGTTGTAGGCGCTGGTGTCAGGAGTGTTCTGGCTCCTTGCAGCACAGCGGTAACGGTAGCAGTATGCCTGTACAAATAAGTAAAAGAAAATTTTCATTATACTTTTGCAGTATGAATTAAAGTGCGCTATCACGCAATAAGGTCAGTGAGGGTCATAGCATTAAAAAATGAGTAATATGACCACTCTTCAGTTCACTTTTCAAGCGGCCACCATGAATAAAATAAATCACCGCCATATTCACAAAGTGAATGATGTTGGAGGAGCTTGCTCATATGATTAGGTAATCCGCAAATCGCCCATACAAATCTCGAACCATGATGTACAGACGTGACAACGTTGTTATATATATACACTGCATACAGAATATTAAATAATTCAAATTTGGATGCGCTTTATACATCCTGATATACATTACATATACCCAGGACATATTCTTTTGAAAAGTACTCGATGAGTTCAAGAACTCATTTCCCTTTACACATTTTACAGATGTTATTTTACAAATTACACCGTCCGCATAACGCTCCACTTCTTCGGTGCAGAAGAATGCAATGAATCCATTATTGATGAGCATGCTTTCATTGTTCCACATCTCCGTGACGCAAAGCACATCGACTGAAGTCAAGACGGGACCATATTCGATGTCATCAATGTGTGCATTGAGGACCCCCACGTTTAGAAGAGCAAGGGTGAACTCGTTCAAACCGTTGACGTCTTCTCGCAGGGAGCAAAGGTACCATTGCGTTAGCATGAGCAATCTGTGCTACTCGAAATGCCGAAACCTGCAAGCATGTCCTTGTGTCCGTGCATCTACTAACCTTATTAGGTGCACTAAAAACAACCTCTACACTAAAACGATTGGCTATGTGCTTGAGCTCATGTGAAAATCGATGAATGTAAGGTAAAATAGCAAAGTATTTTCGTTGCGAGTCTTTTTTCGCAGAACTGTGCTCTGGTCCAACCTTCAAAATCTTAGTAATCTTTTCCATGGCTCTGCTCACAACATTTTCTGGGTATGCAGCCATTTCTAGACTGTTGATTTGACATGAAAATGCTAGATTCATGGTATGAATGCATGACTTCAGACTTCAACAAGGCACTCCTTAGACAAGACACTGCACTTCCAATTTTACAATTCTTGAATGGCCTGAGATAAAGTTGAAAAGAGATTTTACGGTTCGAGGATTATACGACGAACAAAGGTGTCCCAATTGTGGGTGCAGTATTAAGTAAAAAAAACTGCAACAGGTTATTATGCGCAACCTCATGCGTGAACTTGCTGTGTGCGCGCCGAAATGTTTCCAAGAATGTTGTCAAACCAACTCACTTAACTTTCCATACTACTATAATATATGTAGAAGCATTCATACTGCAGTGGATGTAAGGATGTAAAATAGGCTGCCGATGATGACGATTTATTTACGAGGATGCATGTGAAAAGCCGGTGCGCTTAACCGAAGAGACTATTGATGATGAATGACTGTTTGCCTCTGTCGTTGTACTGTGAGTGTTAATTGCTTTGCCAGGCACACGTTTTCCAAATAAGAAGTTCAGTCTTTACCAGGTTGATTGCCACATTCTTTACAGTAACAACTGTAGCATCGTGGTACGTTGTGGAAGTGTTTCTCATTCATGTGTCAGACACACCCTACAACACAAGAGCCAACACGTCTTGAAGGAGGCACCAAGTTCATCCTGGAATCACTACTCAGGCGCAACCGTAGTACGATCCCCTACCTGACAAGACCACAGCCACGATGACAGCCGCTGTGTCATCTACGACATTGACAAAGAAAGAATCCAGGCAGCGCTGATTTTCTGTGAATCATGTGAAGGTCCGACAAATTGGCCGCAGACATACGACCAGATTGGCACTTCCAGCTGGGACTGAAATTGTGGGTGCGTTTGCCCTGTCGGTTTCTACTGAACCTGTACCGACTCCCCGAGTTTCTGAGCCAGCTCCCGACATCAACCAATCATGTAACGTTGAAATTTTGGCAAGTTGGTGATGGTTCATGCTTGCTTACGAAGTAGCGTACGGAGACTAGACACAAAAGGAACGAAATGGACACCGCTGCATTTGCAACTAGTTTATTTTACAACTAAACATGGCTAATATACAATATGATAGTGTATCAGGTGTGACAATAATGTTCAAGTTAAAGCATAATTGCCAAAAGGAGATTTTGCAATCGCTTACACTGACGAATGCTTGGCTAATGCAATGATATTTTCCTTTAACATGTTGAATGCCTCGATAGTCTCATTCCCTGAGACTAAATAAAATACTTTACAGTCACAGGGATCGGGTGACCACAAAAGTTATCGAGGCATTCAACATTGCTAAATTAAAAAATGATTGCATTAGCCAAGCATCGGTCAGTCTAAGCAATAGTGATGTCTTTTTTTGATGTCCACGATAATGATTGTTTTGAGTGAGGACACCTTGGGCCGAGCGGGAACAGCTTCACAGTTAAAAGTCACGACTAAACAGTCCAAGAAGATGTTCTGCTAAATTCGAGGTCACCCATGCATGCACCACCCTAAGGCGTTCTATACTAGCGCTAACGAACTTTGGGAACATTATTCACATGCTTCTTGTGTGTATCCTATATGCATGCACTTCTTCATGTCATTGCTCTCGCACGAGTTCCGTCTGCAACCGGTGCTTGAAGGTGGCCTTCTTGGCACGTGCTTGTTTTCTCTTCATTGCGAGTACCTATCACTGGCCAAAGTAAGTGTTACCAGCCAAGGCAGGCCACCTCGGAGTACATAGGAGGTTTTGCAATTATTACATGCGAAGCAGATCTTTGACAAGCCCGTGTAACACTGTCCCTCCGTCCACATCGCTCCCCTAGCCGCAGGTGTTGGAGCGGTGCCAAGAAGCTCACACCTTCATAGCAATGCGCGATGACGTCTCTCTCCCTTGCCTGCCGTGCACTCGCCACGGGTCAGCTCTCTCTCACTTCACCCTCTCCACTGCTCGCAACACCTGAACCCACTCCTCACGTGCCCATCATCTCACCCGCGCCACCTCTCTCCATCTGTCAGAGAGAAGAAACCGCGAGCCGGCGTGTGCGCGTGCCTCGAGAATCACGCGGCACTGACAATGTGGACAGTGCGCCGCTGCTTGCCGCGCGATTGCACCAATGGGTGGGATGCGGTCGCGGCATGCTTCCCACAAGTGCTCACGTACCTTTCCTGGCTGTCACCAGTGTTGCGAGGGGTAACAAAGCTCATCGCATTCGTGAATGGCGACGTGAACACCGATGAGGCGCGAGCCAGGGAAGCCAAATGCAAGTGTCGGCAGTGGAAGACCAGTGACATTGACGAGGTGCTAGTCAAGAACACCGATCGTGTTCGAGGATACGGATGACGCATAGTTAATGCGGACAAGGTGCGAGGCAAGGAAGCCGAGTCCAAGCATCTTCAATGCGTCCTGCCTCCCGTGTCTTTGCGTCTCAAACAAACATTTACTCGAGTAAACGCTACACTGGGTTTCGCTTCAAACTGTTTTTACAGCACCCGCGTCGACGCCCGTTTCAACCGCGTCAACGCCGTGTACACTGCTGCTGCTTCGCATCCCACTAGGGTTCCCTTCGGAGAGATGGTCCATAGTTTTCTTAAATGCTCCGATAAGACTGCAAGAGCACGACACCAGTGGCTTACTCCGGAAGTGACACGGGTACCAGCTATACTTCTTAAATGCACGATGACGCACGTACAGATGCCGGCGCATTTCACAGATTATCGGCGAGTGTACTAGCCACTCTCACTGTGCTGTGAACGTTACTTACTTGTACTACAAGTCTTTTTGCTTCGCAGGGCACAAACTCGCCTGGTCAGTTGATAAAAATTCTTTGGGCTTGACGTAAGGCACGCCACAGCGGATGGCTCCAAAAATATTCACTATTCCGCAATGTGCACATTTATCGCTGTGATTGCACAATTCTCCAGCCTCTAGCATTTCGCTCCCATCGAAACGCAACCGCCAAGGTAGGGATCTAACCCGCGACCTTCAGGTCAGCACCTGAACACCGCAGCCTTTGTTCCACGCCGACAGATGCCCACTATTTCAAGTCTTTACCAGTTTAGTCGCTGCATTTTTAACCGTACATTTGCACAAATTACAGAGGCTGACTTTCAATAATGAACTCTCATATTCTAACCAAGCTTTCAAAAATTATCCTCGTGTCTTTTGGATTAATTTTCAATCCTACACCCTTATTGTTAAAACCAGTGTACATGCGGAAACAAAAAGCAAACAACCAAAAATTGCACCCAAGTGTTGTCTTTTTGTGCACTGGATTTCTAGACGGAATCATACCGACCCACAACATTGAATGCTCCACCTTTCCCACGATGATCTCTAGGTCCACAATAGCTTCTCACAAGTCATTGCCAGCGTTATTGACAGCTGTGAGGGTGCTGACACCCCCTGTAACAAGGGGTGCCAGCACCCTGTTACTGTACTGTTGCTTCCATCGCATCTACTCGAGGCAAGCCAAGTGTCAAGTCAAGCGAAAGCCAAGTAATGACGCCCTTGACTGAATTCATAATGCTCAATCCAGTGCCGATATATAAGTAGTGAATGGTTGTGCAGCGTGAGCAGTCGGTTTTCACTAGCAGACGTTGCCTGCATCAGCCTTGCAATGCGACAGTAACAGTGGGCATGAGGCGCGAGCATGCTGCTCGAGACACGAGATGCAAGCATGCACAGTGAGGTGTAGGCACCACCGCTAACATCAGATTTGTGAGTAGGTGTGATTATAAAATGCTCTGCATTTAAAAAAAGCTTGCATTATACCCGCGCCTAGAATCCAGATACAGACGACTGTACATACACTAAACAGAAGAGATGGGACATTGCTGTTCAATGTACTCTCGCTGCTTACATCGCATACTTAGGCATACTAAGGTGTGCCGTGCCTTTCTTATGGCTTTTATTGTAAACAAGGCTCCCTCCCATATCAGGTACTGAAACGTCAGTAAGCTCTGTGTTCTATGGGTCGGTGTATCCTTTCACGTTTTCACTAAGAAGCAACATGCACTGTCTTCTTTTTTTTTTTTTTTCACATGCCTTCTAGATGCTCACTGTAGTTGCAGTTGGAAGAGCGACTTTTTAAGCTTTGATAAATGGTAATGCTTATTTTTTGATGGCCACAAGAAACTGCTGTCAGTTTCCATGACCTGGCCAGATTTTTCAGAAATTCCCCGACCTTTCCATGACTTTTCGAGAAGGGTCTGAATTCCCTAGATTTCCCAGGTTGGTATATACCCTGTTATTTTAGCTGGTCTCTCTGCTGCCATTGATGGATCAGCCAGCAGTACTGAGCATCGTACCACATGGGCGAGAAACTTGAAGCTCTCTTCCCTAGGCCCTACTTCACTCCATTGTTCTATCGAGTGTTTTGAATGTACCCAGCGAAAGTGATGTAGCCTGCGGCTGGCTATCTTCTGCACATCACCAGTGCCACTGGCCAGAAATGCGGTCGTGACATCAGACGATGGACATGCCTGGGACCTGCGCAGTCCTGCGCCCTCGTGAGTGCTGGTCACAAACAGAAGACGTGTCTGCGCGAGTGACGGTTCGTTGCGCCGATGGCAACGTTGCTGTTGCGGAACTGGTACTGAGGTGAAGTCGTCGAGCTGGACAGTGCAGCAGTGTTGACCGCCGGCGGTATTGTGGGAACGGACATTCTTTAGAGACATGTGTTGTCATGTTTTGTTAGAGCTTGTGTAGCTGATTTTTTTCATGTTTTTCTTTCTGGGATATGGTTTAAATTAAAGGAACACTAAAACACTTAAAAAACGAAGTTATGGTGTCATGATACGTAATTTTGTGTAGCAAATTCGAAAATCAAGTAGAAAATTTGCAGTAACCAACGCAAATAACTTTGTTTTGCCCAAAACAAGCAACAAGCGCCACGGCCACCATCGCGAGTCTCGCAGCCGCTGTGATTGGTCGAAGCTTCATGACGTCACGGTCAGGAAGGTGAGGACAGCTGACTGCGCTCGCCGGCAGTCAATGCCATGTTTATCTGTTGAGATCCGGTAGTTGCTGTAAGTATAACAAACTGTGAAAGTCGGACCGAGTTCGCTGTATACATCCGTACGTGTTCAAGCTGGTCGCCACTTTGAGGGCGACGACTGAAGTGGCACAGAAAAGCGAGTTCCAACTAGCCACCGTCACTTGCATCGGAAACAGACTGGTAGGTAGGTATAAGATCCATGCCAATGCTCAATTTCACAGTAGTAAACTGTTGCAAATGATACGCTTATCAATGGATATGAAATTCAATAAGAAACAGCAGCATCCACACTCGTATTGGCACGGTTTGCGCTAGGCACGGGCAGCATGCAGAAACATCAGCTGTTGGTGAATTTCACGGCTCGCAGTGCAGCATCGTTAAGGCAGTCAGTATTGTACTTCGCAGCGAGCAAGACGCACGCGATTAGTCAGTATGCTACCGCAAAAAGAACAAAGAGTCAAACGAGTGATGCTTTTGCCGCAGTGATGATATCTGCTTTGAAATGTGCTGAAAATTGCGTAGAATAGTTTGGCTCATATATTGCAGTTCTGTTTTTTTTATAATATCGCTTTTTTTTTTTCAATTCTGTTCAGTACTACAGTGATGGTGTGTTAAAATGCAAACGGTGTATTAGCTGCGCTAAAAGCATGCGACTATCATGTAGAGTAGCTGATTTCGAATATGCGTGCTGCTATCTTTGTACACGTGTTTTCGCCATACGTGCTCATGCACGCACTGCGCACAACTAGGGAAAGAGGAGGAACGCTGCTACTGCCTCGAAATTCGGCAAATTCGCGACCACCACAGCGCAATTCATCTCGTACGTTTGAAGTTTTTTTAACTGCAGCGACCCATTTCGTAGCTATCTTCTGATCTGAAGAAAACATTAAAAAGCGACCATTGCAACCGTAAGTGCTGCGGCAGATACTATATGCCACGCAGTAACTCGGCAACGCGAGTCCATTTCAGCCTTGCACAAGCACAACTAGTGAATGTCGGATGATGAAAATCTCTAGAGGAAGAGAGAGAATGGTGCAATGGCAAGAAATCCCTAGGAACAGGCAGAACTTATGCTTTCCCAGGCAGCAGATCACAGCAGAAACAAAGCACAACCACGAAGTAAACAAGCTGAGCTGACTGCTGATGCAGGTGGCCCGGCGCAAATTTGCCCGCTAGAGGCCGGCTTGACGCTGACAGTGATGTCACCTCGAACCTCGCTAAAAAAACCTTCGTAGACATGTTATAAGAGGTCGAGGATAACAAATTTGCAATAAAATCGCGAATCCAAAACCTCTTCAGTATACCTTTAAGATTGAAGAAATGTGGGGGTGGTGACACCCCCTGTAAAGTTGTTTGCGCCGTGTGGCGCACTTGTCTTGCGCAGAAGCCGTGTTTCGGAGTCTTAACTATTGAGCGGTAGCTGGCGTTGTGTTCACGAACGTTTATCACCACTATCATCATCATGGTTAGGCCAGTAGCGCCGGCGGTGACCCCTAGCGGGAAGCCTTGGTGGCGGCATGAGAGAGTTGAGTGAGCCTCTTTTGCTGGTGGCGTTTGGCATGAACGGTTGTCTCTTGCAGTGGGACGCCGGTGCACGGAACCGCAGGCCATCTGCCAAGGGCCCTTGTGGTGAGTCAAGCGTTAGTGACACCACCTTGTTGTCATGTAGTTGAGTCTTGTGTAATAATGCGTGAGGTTGTTTAGCGTGTGGATTGCAACATGTTTAATCATTCGGCTGTGATATCGTTGTTTATAAAAGCAGTTAAATAAATAAATGTGTTGTTTGGCTTGGTCCGATTGTATCTACGATGTCCGTTCACTCCAAGAGCATGACTCTCTCCATATTGAGACCCCACAGAGCACAGCACCGTTCTAAAATGGAAGTTTGCCATAACATTCGCTGACAATCGTTATTCATCACTCTTCACTAGCTAAGAGCTAGAATATTTTAGGTGTGCAGTGGGCAGCACTTCAGACATTTCATCTTTTTACCTGACCTTATTTTGAAAAACATTTTATCAATGTTTTGTGGGTAAATAAGAGTTCTAGAATAATTATAATGATTACAAAGGCAATAAAATTTGTATCCTCTTTTCCTTGAGGACTAAGCAATGTCACCATGGCCACTCGCAAATCTACTTAATCAAATGCATTTTCATAATCTGCCAAATCCAGTCAGAAAATGAGGATGAGCATAAAATTTAACGAAGTACCCTTTCATGTGGTCACAATATGTGCAACACAAGGAAAATGAGCAGCAAAAGCATTTAGTAAATTTGCATTTTAGATAAACATTCTTAGAAACATTTTAGATAACATATGATACCAGGTATTTTACTGCTACCATTATTACTGCTATCAACTCTTTGAGACATTATGTGCACGATTGTGTATATCACTCATTTTCGCTTCAAGCAGAGGCTAAGAAAGAGTAAGATACATTGTAATTTGGATGAATTTCATAATAAAGTTGACTTCATTTAACTTCATTTTGTAGTGTACTGATACATATGATCACTCTTCTGAAGGTACTACCACGTTCGACGAGTCGTGTGACAAGCCAGTTCCTGCAAGCAATGTGAAGAGCAGAATTTTTCTTTGCTTAAAATAGACATAACCAAATATGACTTTGCACTATATTCCATGCCAGAGAGTTCATTATGTTTATGCCAAAAGCAAGCATGAACTACTTCAGGATAAAGAGATATTTATATGCAACTTACGGTAATTACAATGAGTTACTATAACATGCATAAATTCAACAATTATGTTATTATTCTTATTACAATAGAATATTGAGTGCCTCGAAGTAATGTTGTAGTGACTTGACACAGTTACAGACCGTTCTTCATAGGTGGCATCTGAAAGGGTACACGAATATACGACTAATGAAAAATGTTAATATATATATATATATATGTGTGTGTGTGTGTGTGTGTGTGTGTGTGTGTGTGTGTGTGTGTGTGTGTGTGTGTGTGTGTGTGTGTGTGTGTGTGTGTGTGTGTGTGTGTGTGTGTGTGTGTGTGTGTGTGTGTGTGGTGTGTGTGTGTGTGTGTGTGTGTGTGTGTGTGTGTGTGTGTGTGTGTGTGTGTGTGTGTGTGTGTGTGTGTGTGGTGTGTGTGTGGTGTGTGTGTGTGTGTGTGTGTGTGTGTGTGTGTGTGTGTGTGTGTGGTGTGTGTGTGTGTGTGTGTGTGTGTGTGTGTGTGTGTGTGTGTGTGTGTGTGTGTGTGTGTGTGTGTGTTGTGTGTGTGTGTGTGTGTGTGTGTGTGTGTGTGTGTGTGTGTGTGTGTGTGTGTGTGTGTGTGTGTGTGTGTGTGGTGTGTGTGTGTGTGTGTGTGTGTGTGTGTGTGTGTGTGTGTGTGTGTGTGTGTGTGTGGGTGTGTGTGTGGTGTGTGTGTGTGTGTGTGTGTGTGTGTGGTGTGTGTGTGTGTGTGTGTGTGTGTGTGTGTGTGTGTGTGTGTGTGTGTGTGTGTGTGTGTGTGTGTGTGTGTGTGTGGTACTGAATGAAAGCAGCTTGCCTTGTGGCACATGAAGGAGCCGCCTTTCTTGACTTTGTCAGTGCCACTTGATGGTCCTTTCTGCGAGAGATGAGAAACAGGTACAGTTGAATGTCACATCCTACTTTTCACTTCAGTCATTTTGATTGATATTTCTCTGCAAGAGAGGATAAGAAATGATTAGTGATTATGTCTTAGCATCGTTATGCTTATTTCACTAGAGTTGTGCCACTACTATAGGTCTCAGGCAAGATATAGTATAAAACGGCGCCATATTGACAACACATATTTTAGTTGCAGATTGACAATTGTTAGACATATGCTGGGTTTTTAATCGAGTAGTAATCCTCTAAAGTTTCAATGTAAATAAAACATCGAGAACTGTATAGGGCATATTACTTCATGTCAATATGTGCTGTCTATGAAACTAATGGCACACACATGCTCGGGTAAGAGATGGCAACACTGAATCGACCAAATTAGATGGTACACCTCTGTACAACTATGGTGATAGAGCTGTGTGCCGCCGTCACCCCTTCTTGCTCATGCTGCTCACTCCGCCAACGAAGTCCCAAGAATGACAACGCCGCCTTGCAAGAATTGCGGCACGCCGCCATTAGTTCTTTATTTTAACGTGAACAGGTAATCTGGACATAAAATACATCCCTTCATTAGGCGAGCTCATCACCTGCATAAGAGACCACGCTTCGTGGAAGCAGTGCTTCGTGGAGGCGAAAATCTTTAGAGCGAGCCCAACGCTACCCAATGCGAGATTGTTGCGCCATCTTGCTACTGATAATAAAAACGCACTAAGGTTTCAAAGCTCTGAGGACTGTAAAACGGTGTATATAATGTATATATATCATACATATACACCCTTTGGCAAGTCATTTAAAATGACTTGCCATCTGCATCCCAACAGCGTACACTTGACGGCGTAGTGGCTAGCACCGCACGTTGCAGAACGAGAGATCGCTGGTTTGATTGCGCATGACCGATGCTTGCCTTCTAATTTTTTTTTCTTTGTAATCTGTTAGTGTATATTTTGTACGTCATATTTGTGACAGAAATATGTCAGCAGAGTTGTGGTGGACCCCGACATAAAACACCTTCATGTAAAAAAAAAAAGAAAAGGAGTAGCCAGAGGTTAATGTGCAGATACATGAACATTCGCAAAACATGTATTTCTTGTGGTACAAACAAATGAAATAAGAGATACTGGGTGAAAAAATATGTAGATAGTCGATGGCACAGTTAATTTTTACTTCTCACCTGTTCAGCTCCCTCCTCGTTGTTTGCTCATGAAGCAGAGTGAGGAGAAAAAAAGTGGTGGGTGCTTAAAAGCGTCAGCAGTATAAAATTTCTGTACAGGTCCCTAAAAAGGTAGAGAACAGGTACATTCCGAGAAGAACAAAAAGCTACGATCTCCTTTCTGTTCTTCACGAAAAGTATTTGTTCCTTACCTAAGCAAGTGACAGGCGTTTTATCTTTGCCTATATATCGCCTTTCATGTGAGTTTTCATGGCGGCAGCCGATACGTCAGATAAATTGCTTTGTGTACTTCTTTGGTATATATATATATATATATATATATATATATATATATATATATATATATATATATATATATATATATATATATTAATGGGTTAAACGCACTGGGGCAGAGAAGAGAGCCAACTTAGCGGCTGCCTTAAAGTTGTTTCCAACAGTTTAGACTGGTGGACTGGTCTTCGACAGGGTATGCAAACAAGTGACACTTTATAACTTGTCCACAAACCCTGGCAAAAACTGGTCCACCAGTCGAAACCATTGGAAATAAAATTATGTTGTGTCACATCTCTGTCGCTCTCTCTTTTCTTTATATATATATATACTTGATTGATTGATATGTGGGGTTTAACGTGTCCCAAAACCACCATATGATTATGAGAGACGCCGTAGTGGAGTGCTCCGGAATTTTGACTACCTGGGGTTCTTTAACGAGCACCCAAATCTGAGAACACGGGCCTGAAACATTTCCGCCTCCTTCGGAAATGCAGCCGCTGCAGCCAGAATTCGAACCCGCGACCTGCGGGCCAGCAGCCGAGTACTTTAGCCACTTGACCAGCGCTGCGGGGATATATATGTGTTTATATATACATATATATATATACATATATATATATATAGTGTGGGCATTTGTTACATCATCATCATCCCTGCATGATCACAATCACCATCATCAGCTTGTCTCTTTGTCCTCATTGCCACTCTGGGTCATCATCATCGTCATCGTCTGTGTACTGGCTCTTCCCGTTCGTTTTGCAAGGTTTTTCCTCAAATAAACGCTGACGCAGCCAAAATTCCCAAGACTTCATACGTGTCGAAGGTGGATTTTCGGTCCTCTGACCTCCCGCAGCCCGATATACCCCCTGGAGCTTCGTTCAGGCCGCCGTTTGCGCCCACCGTCAGGCAGCATGTCCAAGACCGAGCCTACCGGCACTGATGTCATCAACCACGCACCGCCGCAAGCTGCCCCTCCTACTTACATACACGGACATCAGCGGGAACCCCCGCTCTTCGCTGGTCTTCGGGGAGAAGACGTAGAAGACTGGCTTGATGACTACGACCGCATAAGTGCCGCTAATAGGTGGGACAAGGCCGCCAAACTGCGTTACGTGCCTTTTTAGGTGGGATTTTCTATCATCTGCTTCCGCAGCGATTTGTTGTGGACAACGCATCGTTCACCTCGCTGACACCGACTACATGCTTGACGACGACAATTAGAAGCCACTTCGTCTGGTCGCTGCGAAAGACATCGAACTGCCGCCACTACAAGAGCAAATTGTCAGCATTACATCCAACGACATATATCACGGGGATGTATTGGTCTCATCGTCACCACTTTGCGTTCGCAAAGGTGTAGTTCTTCTGTCCGGAGTCGTTCATTTTTGCAATGGCTCGGCACTTGTCACCGCTGTCAACTCTACACCGGAAAATATCTTACTGCCACAGGGCACTACTGTGGCCTGTGTTGCTGACTTCAAACCTGTATTTGTCACGCCACTTCAGGCCATCGCATCCAAAGAACCTTACCTCGGTGAGCATGTTTCTTCCTCCGCCTTTACCACCGCTATCAGCAGCGAATTGACATATTCAGAGGCAGCAGCTGCTCGCATTGTTACAGAAACATGCAAATTCTTTCGATATTTGCTCGTCTAAGCTGGGCCGCACTAATACTACAGCACATCGAATTCAAACTGTTGGGACATCTATCGTACACCGCCGACCCTATCGCGTGTCTCTAACTGAAAGAAAAATTATAGAAGAAGACATTGCGGACATGCTTAAACGGGAAGCCATCCGTCCCTCATCTAGCCCTTGGTCGTCTCCTATTGCTTTGGTCTATAAAAAGGATGGCTTTGTGCGGTTTTGCGTGGACTACCGGGCGCTCAATAAGATCACACGCAAGGACGTGTACCCTATGCCACGCATTGACGACGCCGTTGATTCCCTACAAGGCGCGGAATTCTTTTCAAGCATCGACTTGCGTTCTGGATACTGGCAGATCCCCATGCATGAAGACGATAAGGAGAAAACGGCATTCGCAACCCTCGACAGGCTATATGAATTCAACGTGATGCCTTTCAGGCTCTCCAACGCACCCGCGACTTTTGAGCGCATGATAGATACCGTGCTGCGCGGCCTAAAATGGAAAAGTTGTCTTTGCTACCTGGACGACATTATTATCTTTTCGTCAACGTTTTCTGAGCACCTAGAATGATTGGATCAAGTTTTGACGTGCCTTGCCATCGCCGGGCTTCAAATAAACACCAAGAAATGCTCTTTCGCTAGCAAATCTATCAAGGTCTTAGGACACGTCGTTAGCAAAGGTGGCATCCGGCCCGACCCTGACAAGATTTCTGCCGTCCTTCACTTTCCGCGTCCCGAAAAACCAAAGGAGCTTCGCAGTTTCCTTGGCCTTGCCTCCTATTTTCGCCGGTTTATCCAGAACTTCGCTTCTATTGCTGCTTCATTACACCAACTACTTGCTTCCAACGTCCCCTTTCTGTGGTCTCAAGAATGTCAAACGGCATTCGAGCTGTTGAAGCAGGCCCTCACGTCTGAACTTCTGCTCTGCCACTTTGACGAAGCCGCACCGACTATCCTCCATACTGTCGCTAGCGGCCTTGGTATAGGAGCCGTTCTTCTACAACGCGACAAGTCTTCCCTAGAGAAAGTTGTTGCATATGCCAGTCGCGTACTCACCCCTGCCGAAAAGAACTACACTATAACTGAGCAAGAGTGTTTGGCTGTGGTTTGGTCGGTCCAGAAGTTCCGTCCCTATCTTCACGGCCGTCACTTCACAATCGTTACGGACCACCATGCCTTATGCTGGCTTTCTACACTGAAGAACTTGTCCGGACGCTTGGGTCGGTGGATACTACGCTTGCAGGAGTACGACTTTGACATAACTTACAAGTCAGGCAGAAAACATCAAGACGCCGACGCTTTATCTTGTTGCCCGCTTCCAACTATCCATATCAGCGTTGGTGAGAACTCAACCGCCACATATACCAAAGTTCATACGCTCACATCAATAAGGCAACCCTCTTCGGACGACGAGCCAACATTTATCTCCCACCAGCGGTCCGATTCATACTGCAGACGCATGATGGACCACCTTTCGGGAGTTTCTCATCCACCCAATGCGCGACTCCGTCAACAACTCCTGCACTTTAAGCTGGACAATGGGGTTCTCTACCGCCACGTCTATCACCCTGACGGTCAGCGCTGGGTTCCTGTACTGCCACGTTCTATTCAACTTCAGGTGCTCGAAGCCTTCCACGATGACTTGACTGCTGGTCATCTTGGTTTTAAAAAAATTCTTGACCGCATTTGATGTCGTTATTACTGACCTGGCCTTTCTTCTAGTGTAGCACGGTATGTCGGCTCCTGCTACCCATGCCAGCGTCGTAAACTCCCCACGTCTGCACCTGCTGGACCTCTACAGCCACTTCCATGCCCTTCAATGCCGTTCGAGGTTGTAGGTGTTGACCTTTAAGGGCCTCTCCCCGTCACATCTGCTGGCAAACGAT